ATATTATTTAGAGAGCTCATGTAATCATTTATTACAATTTATTCTTCATATTTGATCATTTATTGAATCACAGAGCAGTTCAGTCACAGTATGGTTCTAAACATAAGCAAGCTATATTGTGAAGAAGGAAATTTGTAGATGTTTATGATAAACTACATTGCGGGTACATTGCATTTTTTTGTTTGTTTTTTGTTGTTTTTTTTGTTTGTTTGTTTGTTTTTGGTTGTTTTTTTTTTTGTTTTTTGTGTGGGGTGGCTGGGGGTAAAGCTAAGCGGAGACTCATCTTTTCTATAATATGGGACAAAGAAAAGTTCATCTGTTAGAGTTAATATTGTTTCATTAGGAGAGCTGAAACAGTGTCTCTCTCAGAACAACTCAGCCTGTTGCACCTCAGCGCGCTCCGATAACAGCGCTGTTGAGGAGAGGAGTTTGGTCACACAAGCAAAGTTGGACATATCTGTTCGATGACGCTCTGAACACATAAACTTATAGTCTGTTAGATTTTAGATCCCAACATCTCCGGTAGCTCGGGAGCAAAGTGTAGAGAGAGGACAGGGTTTGCTCGCTCAGGACAGGAGCTGCAGGCTGACCGGTGTTTATCCTGACTGCTTCACAGAAATCAGAAAGACCTGCCCTGCTCTGCTCTGACTGGATAAACTAAGCTGTGGTGTTTGTTTGATTTGTTGAACGCAACGTCTGTATCAGACTGGGCGGCTTGAGACCGCAACAGAAAACGAACAGGTTTCTCTTTTCCTCATTTTTTTAAATACCAAAAATACCGACACGGGCAAAATGATGTTGGCTATTGTCATAAATGTCGGTATCGGTTATTTTTCGGTTTATCGCCCAGGCCTACAGTGATTCTTGGTGTCTGAGTAACAGCTGACTAATTGTTAGCTGAGAAGCTCCACCTGTGGCTTTATACATATGAATCATCCATTTGTAAAAATATACTTTAATGTAAAATGGCAGAGTAAATTTACACCTATAATACAAGATTTTTCAATAAGGCACTATTCGGCAGCAAATGCTAACATAACAGAGAGAGAAAACAGTACAGCATCACATAGCTGGTTAGCTGAGAAGATTTTTGCCAAGAAGACAAAGGGAAAGTCAGGGTTTGTAATATTTCTAACCTGATCCCTGACTTTGGGTCAGCCAGTCCAGACAAGATATCTCTCGACCAGTCTTCAAACTGCTCCTGTTCGTACGCTCTCAGAATGTCCAGCAGGTCATCGCAGAAACGCAGAAAACCTTTGAACCCAGACAGGTCCGCGAGCAGAGCTTCAGCTATGTGAACAGAATCCTCCACCTGGTGCAACAAGGCGAGCAGATTAAATAAAGGGGAGACCTTTCATTTTCAGGTGAATCATTTCATATTTGTAATGTCAGTGAGAAAGTCTCTGTGGTGTAATCGAATGTTTTCCTAATCTTATACTCCATTAAAAAAGATACAAGCACTAACACTACCTTGTGTAACAGATGTCGAACCCAAACTACTTTGTTCACCACTTCAGGAAGGTTTCTGCCAGTCAGTGGGCCCGACTTTTCACCAGGGTCTCCATGGCAACGATTATCAAAGTCATTCTTTAGGCCTAAAAAAAAGTTGAATAAGAAATCACAAATTTTCCATGCTAGTCATCATGAGTAAGTGAATTTATTGTTGTTTTATGGAGGCGTTTACTGTAACAGATTCCAAGTCTATTTTTATGACAGCATTTAAAGTATCTGTTCAACTAAAGCTGACATTTTTGTTTTGCATCTTTTTGATATATGTGACCCATCACATCAAAACGAGGATTAAGTCTAAAAGTGGTATAAGGAGAAATAGGCAAATATAGTGTTTTGATTAAAACATTTGCAAGCATTGCATTTTGTCAAAAGATAATGAATAAATGCCTTAACTGTATAATTTGAATGAACCGTCTGAAATATAATCACAAAACAAAATTTTGAAGCACTTTTTTGAGCAGTAGCAACAAAAAAAATGATTTTGAGGAAAAATTCCTTAAAATTTTGAGACTTTCCATGTGAGCTAGCAAAGTTTTGTTTCTTTTCAGCTGGGAAATCTTAATATTCAAATACAATTTGAGGTTTCCTCTTTTTAAGGACATCAAAAATTCTTCATTAAAATTACACAAAATTAGGATTCAGACCAAACAGTAATGTATTATTGTAACCAACAAGACAAATTAAGTCATACATACGGATTTAATTATGATATCAGAATGATCCAGGTATCAAAATGTAGCTTTTAAAGCCAAGAATCTGAAAATGTAATGAGGTCATTTTGACCAAATTTGACCTCATTTTGATATGATGGATCACATATTTCTTTTGCCCCACATGAACACAATAAAAACTTGGAAACAAAACTGTATACCCTTGTTGTAGTCTAGAAGTCTGGCCAGTAATGTTTCTCTTTCTGACTGCAACTCTTTGCTGATTGTGGGACGTCTGATCAGCTCCTTGTGTTTCTGAAAAAGCTGCAGCAGCTAGAAAACAAGTGCTTAGGTTCAGCTCTTCCATTACCTCGCAGTATTTAACAATCGGAAATGAAAACGTGTGCTTCACTACCTGCTGTGGGTTGTCCTGCACATCAGAAATGTAGCTCTTCAGTCTGCCTGCGACCTCCAGCTCAGATGGCGCTATTACACGCTCAAACTGAGCAACTGCTGCTCTCCAAAGAGGCTAAAAAAAGAAAAAACTACTCAAAAAAAACCACATTTAAAAATTATAAAATAGTCTGTTTTCAGAATGACTTTACTTTAAGTTTGAAATTTTTTGAACTGCCATGAAATAAGACAAAACTTTGCATTTGTCTGTAAGTATGAGGTAAAAACATTTGTCATCATTGACTAATGTAAAATATCATCTAGAAAGTGAAAGCTTAGGGACCCCAATACCAAAAAACATTTTATTCCTCGTGTCAGAGGGAGCACTCGTGGTGACACATGCTTGTGATGCACTTCGCTCTTCTGCTGGTTACTTTCTGTTCTAGGGTACGGTCACTCTTTTTTTATATATCTGGTCAAAATTTAGAAAACTCTTTGGATGATTCTGTTTTTTTCCACCACAGGTCTTGCCTCACTCATTGACGTCCAAACTGCCTTTAACCATGCGTCAGCACAAAACAGCATACTTTGTGTGACACATTCTCATTTGCACAGAGTGAGGAAGTGAGATCAGAACACAAGTGGGCATTTAGGACGTGTTTGAAGACACATTTTAATGCCGGAGAGGAACACACACTTCCCCCACAAGATAAAACCAAAAGCAAACAAGGTGAGATATTTTCACTAGGAAAGCCCACAAGAATCTCAACAGACTCATAAGTCAGTCATCATCACATTATCAACTGCATTAGGCATCTTCCTCAAGATCAATTATGCATGATAATTGATTCATTCAGTGTGTTTTTACCCATCTGTTAGGACTTTTTTTGGTGGCATGAATCTGTATGCCTCACTTCCTGTGTGTCATTGAAACCTCTGCATCTCAGCAGCTGTGCCCTAATATTTCCACACTGAATGAGGGAAGAAAGTCCATATTACCAAAGCCCGTGCCTGCATATTTACATGCTAAATTTTAGGCATTCCAAAACATGGCATAAAAACAGACATACATAAGGTTTTTGTATGGGCATGGGGTTTACTTCGAGGACTCCTGGACTTTAAATATGATAAAGTAACACTGTTTTATTTTTTTTAAACTAACCTCAGTGTAAGGGTTGTAGTGCACAGGGTTGAGTCCAGAAAAAGGTTCGAACACACGAGCTGAAGTCAGAGCCTGCTGCTTTCCTCCAGGCAGCAAACAGAGCAGTTTCTCGTGAACCACACGAAGAGTCACCATCTGGTAAATACACAGGGAGTGTGTATTTATCATGGAAGATTTTTACAGTTGATATTTTTTACAATTTATAAAAGCAAATGTGTTTCTGAAAATAATGTGCTTTCAGAGAATAAACAAACTTCTATGGAAAATGCAAACAAGGCACAAATTTTTCTAAAAAAGGAAATGATACAGTTCATTAAAAAGAGGAAAGACCCATCAATATGTGACACAAGTAAGGTGACTCTAGATCAAAAGGACAATTTTAAAAAGTCATAAGTCATAAATAAGTTCAACACTGTTGAATTAAACCAATTTTGAGAAAAGTAAAAGAAAATCATATTTTTTGCTTCTTAAACTTGTGTTTGGTTTGTTATTATTGTTACAAAAGCAAGTTGATTTTTTTATAAATATAAGAACTTTTGTTTTCTATAAAGATGTAATTTTACCCACTGCATTCATTGTACTCATTTTTTCCACAGCAAGAAACTACGGTATGTCACCAAAACCATAAAGAAGAAGAATTGTATTTTTGGTGTGATGTTGTTTGTTGATTATTTGAAATTATATTGTGTATTAAGTTGAGTTTTTAATATTTGTATGTTGTATGTTTTTTTAGATTTATATAGTTTTTTTAAAATGGGAGCAGATGTTAAGATTTTTTTCTTCTTTCTGCTCCTTTTAATTTGACTATGTTGTGACAGTGTTTTTGACATGTTGTTGTTATTATTTGTTTTATTATTATTATTATTATTTGTTTGTTCTTTTTATTATTTGTTTGTTTTATTATTATTTGTTTGTTTTATTATTATTTGTTTGTTCTTTTTATTATTTGTTTGTTCTATTATTATTTGTTTGTTCTTTTTATTATTTGTTTTTTTATTATTTGTTTGTTCTTTTCATTATTTGTTTTTTTATTATTTGTTTGTTCTTTTTATTATTTGTTTGTTTTATTATTATTTGTTTGTTCTTTTTATTATTTGTTTTTTATTATTTGTTTGTTCTTTTCATTATTTGTTTTTTATTATTTGTTTGTTCTTTTTATTATTTGTTTTTTATTATTATTTGTTTGTTCTTTTTATTATTTGTTTTTTTATAATTATTTGTTTGATCTTTTTATTATTTGTTTGTTTTATTATTATTTATTGAATGAAATAAAATCCATTTGTGTTACTAAATAACATTAATGTTTAAAAAAAAAGGTTATTGTACTTCTGAATTAGGACCAGGTGAGAACGTTATGTTACCTCATTGAGTCTTTTTGCGAGGGAGTGAAGGGTTTGTGGACAGTGCTTGTTTCCCTTCCAGGGATGTGGAGCATGTCTTTTCCACACCTGAGGGTGACGAGATAACACAGTTCAGTAATTAGAACTGATCTCCTTTCATGTTTAACAATAGTTTTAATTAAGTTTTATGTTTCAGAGAAGACTTTTCAGCTAAGAGACTAAACTGAATCTCCTCCTGTTTTGCCCTCTCTCGTACCTGTCCAGTCAGGTGCTCGCAGGCTACCACCCACTGCTCACAGATGGAGACCCCTGTTCTGAGGTTCTCTCTCACCAGCACAAATGGCTCCTCAAAGATCTTAATGCCGCTCAGCTTCTTCTGGACGTACCTTCCCAAGGCTCCACCTTGCATATGCACAAAAGAAAATAAATACGTAATAATAATTATCTTATATCATTGTGCATAAAGCATACAGAGGACTGTGCACAGAAAAACACAAAACATTATTGACTAGAATGGACAAACCACTTGTTGGGATTAACCGTTACAATATTTATTTCAAGCATCATGAAATACTGACAATGACATACATGTAAATTATGAGCGATTCCAGAGAAACAAAGCAAGTTTCAGTTCTTTTTTTTTTTTTCATTTGCAACAGAGCAGTCAGCTAGATTAAAAAATAGAAGTATTAAAATGTCCTCCAACTTAAAAACATCAGCAAATATTTATTTTCATTTCCTGCTATGGTTTCATGAATATCATGGAGAGAGAACGAGACGCCCACCTATGACATCCATGAGTCGGACCATTCTTGTCTCTGGATAAGGCTCAAAATCTGTCTGCCTCCAAACATCATCCAGAGTGTCTTTGCTCTGTTCCACCAGATCCACAACATCTGACATGGACAAACCATCAAGGCCAGCAAACTCCTGATGGAAACACAAACACACATGTGCACTTTTCTGTTATGTTCATTTTGCTCTGTTCATTAACAGCAAGGTGAAACATCAGCTTCTAGTGGAGTTTCTAACCATACAGTGCATTAAATACAGTTGTTAGAAACTAGAAATAGTTTTGTTTGACCATCTTATCAGTGAAGTATCTGTAAAGTACAAAATCAAAACGTGATAAATGTATTGGTCAAATTACACATTCCCCAGCATACCTTCTGTATAGGTTTGAACTGTTCATTGAAATATGTAGCCTTTTCTCTCACTCTGCTCTTCTCTGCAGATGCTGACAGATCCGCCCAGAACTGGAACTCATCATTAGGAGTGAGGATGCCTGCAGTAAGTGTCAAAAAAATACAGCTTTATATGAAAATTCAAATGCAAACCACTCATTGTTACTTCTATCTGACCTATATTATGTGCTGCTGCAATTTTCTTTAAGATGATCCAATTAGAGATTATAAAAGCATAAAGTCTGATCTAGGAAGGCCACAAAGAACCATGTTTGAAATTAAGGTTATGATTGGGTCATGATTGTTAAAATTGTTGTTAAGCTAAAGTTGATTTGATTTGTGATTTCTTCAACTAAGGGACAAATTATGCACATACCCAGGACATCTTCTTCGGTACGGCCTCTCTTAGAAAAAGGTTGTGCTCCAGAATGGCGAACCACAGAGCCAAGGCCCACTTCCAATTCAGTCAGCAGGCTGGCCAGCTTAGGGTCAAATAAAGAGCGCCAGCGCTCATCCTTTAAGGATAAAATAATGCATTAGACATGGAAACCTTTATCTTTTATTTCAAAAAGGTTTAAAAACTTTTTATAGTAACAACAATGTGAAATGAAAACACGTTTATTGCCTTTATTTGGAAAGGACTTTCTTTTGTGAGATCAAGAATATTCATAAGGTGTGATACAGTATTACCTAATTATTTTATTATCTCTTTATTATCGGGGCGGCTGTGGCGGAGTGGTTAGGGGAGTTGTCCTGGAACCAGAAGGTCACTGGTTCGATCCCCCATCCAGCCATCTCAGTCGTTGTGTCCTTGGGCAGGACACTTCACCCACCTTGCCTACTGAGGGTCCGGTGGCACCGATGTATGGCAGCCCCACCTCTGTCAGTGTGCCCCAGGGCAGCTGTGGCTACAGTGTAGTCTGCCATCATCAGTGTGTGAATATGAGTGTGAATGGGTCTGTTAGTGTAAAGCGCTTTGGGGTCCGGAGGGACTTGAAAAGCGCTCTATAAGTTCAGTACCATTTACCATTTCCAAAGTAGGCCATAAACCAGAGAATGAATTTCACTAAAACTCTTTACAAGTCACTATTTAATGTACATCAACAACTGATCCCTTTTTTAATCAACCCCATTCAAGATGGTCATCATAGCTACCGTAATTGACCTTAGCGAGCACAAACAGTTATAACGCCGTCAATTTTACAAACACAGAGCTCAAATGTGGTGTGGTAGCAGTTGAGAAACATCCATATCTCATACACACATCTTTATGTAAAACTTTGGCATGCAAGGTAAGAGGCATTAAGCATTTCTTCAAACAATGCTACTCTCATTTATAATTCTTACAACCTGTGCATGTGGGTGGCTTTACCTGTAATAGCACAGGTGCAAAAACATGTCTGACAGCCTGATAGAGAGTGCTGATGGGAGATTCCAGCATGGACGACACCAGCAGGCTTTGATGAAGGTTGTCTTCTGTGATCACTGTGGGATGCAGTTTGAAGAACACCAACACTTTCTCTTTACCGTCTCCCAAAGCTTCAATCTGTTGATGACAAGATGAAAAAAAAAGTTATATTGTCGCCAGGTAATCATTTAGCAAGGAATTATGCCTTTTATGCCTATTGTGAATTTTAATATTCAAGCCTACTGGCAAATAAATAATCTTTAGCGCTCGTCAATTTCACATCACGTGTTCTCCTTTAAGTTTAATGTTGTAATGAGACTTTCAGTTTTCACATCACCTTGTTTGATAAGTGAAAGTTGTCGTCATGTCTGGTGAAGAGCAGGACGAATTCATTTCCATCATCTAAGAAATTGTTCAGCTCCGAGCTGTCAGCCAGGGATGATGATGGCTTTATGCCATAGAAGTTTCCAGCTGTGGTCAGGATGAACTTCTTGCGAGCGTCCTCCAAACCGTGGGGCATCTTTCAGCTCACTGTAAATTACTAATAGTGAAACAGCATAAGGAAATAAATTATACACCAAGGCAGTATTGGATATGTCAGTGTTAATAAATATACAAGTTGAAGAAGAGTATTTTTTACATTCTCTCAACTTGGAGATAATGTAAAATTTCACTATCTCAGTATTGGAGGTAGAGTGCTTTGTTTTCCTTTAATTTTCTACCTATTTATTATATAACTTTAAATAAGTTTATACTTTTATCAACGTCATTCTAACCAAACTTAAACTTGTCAAGTTTCTAATGTGTACTGAGACATAGCGATATCTATAGTAAATTGCAAGCTACTACCATCATCACCGAAACATTTAGCGTATCATACAATGTTTAATCATGCATCGTGTTTTAAGAAGATATATCTATTTGTGCATAGTAGGTTTCCGAGCGTATGGTGCAGTAAACCCGAGTAAATAGCATTAGCTTGCTTGCTAATGTTAGCCTTCCTCGCCTGCGTTCAGTGGCTGTGTCGAAAACGGTGGGCAGCGAGCAGGCTAACGCAAAAAAACATGAAGATGCTGGCGTCGTACCTTTTTCCTGTCAAATGTTGTGTCCCATTCACTGCCTTTCATAGCTTGAAATACGAACTAACCATGTAGAAAGGTTTCCTTCTGCTGAGCTTTACTACGCTGGCGTGGTTGCTAGTGGGAACCACGTCTCGTTGTGTCACATGACTATGTTTGTGGCATTCTGGTAAAACTACTACGCAGTACATTTACTCCGTTTACGTAAAGCGGGCGCACAGTTTACAGAAGCAGTATTGTTAGAATACGAATATTATTTTGTAGTAATTGTATGGTGATATGTTTACACTGAAACAGATACAGGTTTTTTGGTTTCTTTGAACAAAAAGCATCAGTTTCACATCACCTGAAACCAAGAACTAACATAAGAAAATACTAGGCCAACAATACATATTTCAAGGGCTATTCGTTGCCTGAGATTTATATTTAAGATTTTATCATTTCCCATTGAAGTCCAACCTGTTTGTCTGTTAGCAAAATGTCTCATTACCACTGGATGGATTTTAAATAAACTTTCAGACTGCTGATTGCCCTTGGAGTTACTCTAATTCAAAATGACTACCACTGCTAAATAACCTTACAAAAGTGGCTTTAAATTAGTCAACTATTGAGAAACTGAGTTCACATCTGTCCTGGAAGTAGCTGAGACTGAGAGTCATTCACTTCTCAGTATATGAAGGTAAATTTGTATTTTTATTATTCAACCAAACAAAAAGAAAATTTCAGTCAA